TGATAACAGCATTTAAAATCAGAATTAACTGCTTCCAACGATATTTCCTCTGGTCCTTCCATGGATGGATGTCTCTAGTAATACTCTGGGAAGCTCTCACAGGTGTCTTGTATGCAGTATGAGGAGGGAGAAAGACTGAGGGAGGGACAGGGAGCCCCTTTAGCTCAGCTTTTCCTGTATTTTTTGTTTTTCAAAAATCATCTGAATATTCAATTCAATCAGCAAGCATGGAATACATTGTTTGGGGTAGAACACCAAGTTCCATTTAAAATTGATTATAAATAGCAAACTGTAACTTAAACAATATATACTTGTATAAACATTTTTAACACCTAAAAGAGATGTTTGGATTGCCAGTGGATGTTCAAAGGATTTATCTAAGAGTTAGAGAGTCATAATATGCAGGTATTTTCTACCTCTACACCCACTGAAAAAGTTTCCAGTTGTTTTATATAAATCTACTCAATTTGTTGCTTTCAAAAAGAAGGGCTTCATGCATTTTTAGAGGTTCTTTGTCTCATAACATTGAGTCAGGGAATCCTACAGGTCCTTTGTGTATACATCATGGCTTCCAGTTTTGTGTTTTTATGGGATTTCTGTGTATGAGAGCATGTATGTCTCTGTGTCTATCTGTGTTTCTTGTGCTTTTTCTTTGGCTGTTTGTTTTATCTTATTTTATTATTGTTCCTTAAATGCCTAAGACAGAAAGGGTGTAGCTCCAAATGGAGGGGAAGTGAGAAGGAAGTGGCAGGAGCAGAGGAAGGAGAAACTGTAATAAAAAATATACTGTATAAAAAAATCTATTTTCAACAAAAGAAAAGAGAATCTTAAGGATTGGGGGAGGGTGTTTCCAGGCAACCTCCTGTTTTAAATCTATTTATTTTTCATATGTGTGTGGGTGCCCTTGTGCCACACAGTGCATATGGGGCCAGAGGACAACTTGCAGGAGTCTGCATTCTGGAAATATAACTCAGGCTGTCAGCCTTGGCAGCTCTTCTACCCAGTGAGTGATGTCATCAGCCAAACCTACTACTTCAAAAATCATACTGAAATTGAAAATGTTCTGATTATGATCAGCCTCACATTTTTTATAAAAACATATTTGCTGTTATAAAACACAGTTCACAGGATACTACCTATATTTAAGTTATATATACACAGCCATCTTCCTTAACTCTTAGGATGCTTTTAAAAATATTTGACAATGACATTCTTGGGAATTATTTTTCTTTCCAAGATTCAACTTGTAAACTAATCAGCAAAGAAAGATCAGTGAAAACAAGTTCTCATTATATAAGTAAAAATTCTTTTCCTGTGGCTGGTGAGATGGCTCAGCAGTTTGTCCTTGCAGAGGACTAGAGTACAGTTCTTTAAGCACAACTCCAAGAGACACAATGTCCACTTCTGGACTCTCTGGGCACCTGCTTCCATGAGAACATACCCACATACAGACATAATAATTAAAAAAATTAAATGGAGACATTCTTTTTCACAGAGTTTCTAGCATCAATATTCTAAATGAATTTCTAGAGTTGGGAATGTAGCTCAGGATGGAAGCCCTGATATGTACATGTGTATTTCTGTTAAGGGTAATGTACACATTGATTTAATCCTCAGCACTGCACAAATCCAGGCAGGGGAGCACACATCTGTATGTAGGAGGAAGCTCAACTTCAACTACAGAAAGAATTCAAGGCCAGCTTGGTGGTACAGTGAGATCTCGTCTAAAAAAAAATACTCATACCTGATTGAGAATAAGACTGATACAGCTTTGTTTCAAAAAGCAGTTGTTTCCTTTGACACAACTAGATTTATAGTGAAAAATGGAAGTGGGTGTTTCTTTTAAGTTACAAATTTTGCTATAAAATTTATAAAAGAATGTTATACTAATAAAGCTTATTATACATTTATTGAGACAAATTTACTACAATATGACAAATGAGAAAAAGTGAAGTTTAAGTCATTGTAGGAGCAACTGTTTTTCCTTATTTATTTATTATGTATACAGTGTTCTGCCTGCATGTATGCCTGCAGGCCAGAAGAGGGCACCAGATCTCATTACAGATGGTTGTGAGCCACCATGTGGTTGCTGGGAATTGAACTTATAACCTCTGGAAGAGCAGCCAGGGCTCTTAACCTCTGAGCCATCTCTCGAGCCCTGCTTTTCCTCTTTCAAAATAAAATAATTGTTTTATTGCAAGTTCTGAGGACTGAACTCATGAAGGGTAAACATTCTACCACAAAACTGTATCTCCCACACTGTGTTTTGAGACAGTCTAACCACTACCTGCTCCAGACTAATCTTGAACTTAAAATCTTCCTACCTCAGTCTCCTGAATGCTGACACCAGAGGTCCATCACCAGCCTGGACTGTGTTTGCACTATAACTGACACATAAACAAATGACAGATGCTGGAGTGGCTTTGACTAATGTAGAACCAGATTGTTTTGATGAGTTTAGGGCAGCAATTTTATACAACCTTCTCTTAAGCCTAATATTAACAATAGTTGTAATTCAGGAAAATATTTTTTGATCTTTATCAATAATAATGTTAATAATAGTAAATATTATTATTTGTTTTTTGAGATGAAAACCAAAGTGTGGCTTAGGCTATTCTGGAACTCAAGATTCTCCTGTCTTAATCTCCTCAGTTCTTGGGACTAATTAATATTTTTAATATTACTGTACTTAAAAGTGATAGAAAAATGAAGAATTGGCTCTTTCAAAAGGTAACAAGGGGCTGAAGAAATAGCTCAGTGGTTAAGTGAATGTATGGCTCTTGCAGAGGACCTGTATTCAGTTTCCGGTCACCATGTTGGGTCCTCACAAATGCCTGTAATCCCAGCTCCAGAGGATCTGAATGGGGTGAGGAAAGACTGTAAGAGCCAGAGGATCAGAAAGTTTGCTATGAGATTGTGTCTCTAGTTGTAACAGAAGCTACACCCATAAATTCTCACCTTATGACTGCCCAAACAAGAGATGAACAAGGACAAAATAATAGACATGCCAACAAGGAGGGGGAAGCCCACAAGGCTTTAACCCTACAGAAAGAACTACAAGCAACTAAGAAATGTTGGGAGCAGGAAAAATGGTCTTCCAGGGAAGAGCACACCCAACTGACAACCCAATACCGAACAGTCAGTCCTGAAAACATACTTACAAGTAACATTATACAAACAGAGCAGGCTGCTAGAAACAGGCATCTACATATGCAATAACAAGTAATAAAAAGGAGGTCATTAATTTGAAAGAGGACAAGGAGGAGTATATGGGAGGGTTTGGAGGAAAGGGAAGGTAGAAACGTAATTATAATCTCAAAAAATTTTAAAAAGGTTTAAAAGGGGGACATGGCTTTAAAAGAGTTTATCCTTTAAATAGGTGGGGATAGGACCACCGACTTTTCATAATATCTTTATCTGTTTCTTCTTTGAAAAAGGATGCTTATGAAGAAATATGGCTATACTACCTACTTATTTTTTGATGTTAAAATAATCAACTTCTGCAAACCAAGTACGGTAGTAATCATCTGCGACAGTTACAGGACATGGGTACAGGGTATAGCAGCTTCACTTTCCTCATGGAGACACTCTCATTATGGCTGGTTTGTAGCTACAACAGAATGTCCCTCAGTCGCAATGAAATGTTAACAATTACGTGCTAGCTCAGCACTCACACTTGTCACCCTTCACTGACTTGGATTTTACCACCCACTGCTAGTCTAGTATCATAGTGACTTTCCTGTCACTACTATATTTTTCTTCTCTAATCCATTATGACTCAGTGGGTTTAACATGGGACACCAGCTAATTTTGCTGACAGAAAAAAAGAAAAATTAACTCCTTCCTATCACTCCCAGTGACTCTGCAACCTGTCCTTAGATGATGTTTCCAGCTTCTGTTTAGTGACTTTCTACTACTCCAAGCTTCATAGGCTGAGGGTTCCTTCAACCTAAGGGACTGTGCATGCTAAGCAAGACTCCATCCTGAGCCTCAGCCCTTTGTTCTAGTCAGAACTGATGGGTCCCCAGTTTTCCACGTACTTCATTTGTGCATTCATTCTATCCAAATACTTTATGGCTACTCGTTATTTTGTCACTGTGGTTTATTTTACTATTTTATTTAAACCAAGATTAAGTAAATTTATTTATTTATTTATTTTTTTGTTTTTCGAGACAGGGTTTCTCTGTAGTTTTGCGCCTTTCCTGGAACTCACTTGGTAGCCCAGGCTGGCCTTGAACTCACAGAGATCCTCCTGCCTCTGCCTCCTGAGTGCTGGGATTAAAGGCGTGCGCCACCACCGCCCGGCAAGTAAATTTATTATTTACTTATGTATTCTTGGTATAATCCCCAGTAGTGAACACAATGCTTTAAATAAAAGTGATATTTGATATCATATTGGCTGGTTTTATGTCTACTTAACTAATAAGCTAGAGTCACTGGAAAGGAGGGAGCCTCAACTGAGAAAATGCCTCCATAAGATCAGGCTGTAGGCAAGCCTGTAGGGCATTTTCCTAATTAGTGATTTATGCGGGGAGGCCCCAGTGCATTGTGGGTGGTGCCATCCCTGGGCTGGTCGTCCTGGGTTCTATAAGAAAGCAGGTTGAGCAAGCCAGTAAGCAGCACCCTCCATGGCCTCTGCATCAGCTGCTGCCTCCAGGATCCTGACCTGCTTGAGTTCCTGTCTTGACTTCCTTCAGTGATGAACAGTGATGTGAAAGTGTAAGCCAAATAAACCCTTTCCTCCCAACTTGCTTTCGGTCATGTTTCATCACAGCAGTAGTAACCCTTACTAAGACAGGTATGTATCAGTGCGACTAACTAGACAGAAACATCTTTCTATAATAAATTTCCTCAGTTACCACCCAAGCAGAGTCTGTCAAAACTAAACTGCATAATTAGGAAAAGGATCCAAAATAGAATACATTTTGACTTCTCTTTGGGTGCCTAACTGATTATATCTTCTACCTAAAGGGGTGGGTGGGGACACAAGGTGGCATTACCTTAGGCATCCAGTGACATTGTAGAATATGTCAAAATCCAGCAAGCCATTTGCTTTGGGGTAGTCTCCTTCAGGCCACCCTGAGAAGGGGATGACGACACTCTCTGTCAGGGTGAGCAAGGCTTCTGTTATCATGAGGTGCTTGAGTTTGTCACTAGAGGACAAGTTCCAGAGCAAACCTAGAAAAACAGCTACAATGAGAGCAGTGCTCAACACTCAGGGCCAGGCCACCGGCTCCAGAACTATGAATAGGTGCTTAAACAAGGACACAGCGTGCGAACCTGTCTGGAGCTCAGTTGATGCTATAGAAACTGATTCCTAAGAACAATTATCTATTGCTTAATATGCAAAATCATGCAGGTTTAAATTAACCAGGAGTGTGAATAAAATAGCATGAATTTGAAATATCCCCCATAGGATCATGTTTTGAAGCTCACCTCCCATTTTGGGAGGCTGGCTGGAGGAAGTAGGTCACTGGGGCAGGTCATTAGTGGTCATTCTTATCTCTTGCTCCTTCCTTTCTCTGTGTTTTCCACCATTGTGTAGAAGCAGCTCCATGACTCCACTCCCATCACGATGAACTATATCTTGATGCTCTGAGCCCAAATAAACTCCTTAAGTTACTTTTGTTTGGTATTTTATCTCAGCAATAAGAAAACTAACCAATGTATACATAAGCTTTTATTGCTATTTACTTTACAGACCCTACCACAAAGCTGACCTCATACTCTGATACCACCACAAAGATGATAGCATACTCTGGGTCCATCAACATAGAGGTGAGAAAGAGCTGTTCTGTAACTACTATTTCAATAGTTTAAAGGATTTTTTGTTTCTTTCCAAGAAACAAAGGGAGTCAAGTAATGTTCCTAACCACTGCTCCTCACTACCTGTAAAATCGACCTGCTATTTTCTGTTCCATTCATGGAAGGAGTTCCCGCAGAATGCTTTCCTCTATTCCATTGCAGTAGGCTGATCAACACTCCCAGTTAATGTTTACTAACTGATGCCCAATGATGGGATTTGTGCCTTCTATGCTAAGCATCATTTAACTTCTTTTAGAGTTTGGCAGTAAAAGACAATGTTATGGTCAAATACAACTTTCACTTTCCCCTTGAAGCCATTATTAAAGGGAAAGCTTTTATATCCAACCAGGAAAAAAATTAAAATAATAAAATACCAGGGTTTTCAGGGCATTTACACATAGAAACTGGAGTTTGGTGCTGAAAGATAAGAGAAAATCACATATACATGTAGGATTTTTTTAAATGTAGCTCTGGTACCCAAATGCTTCTCAGTGGAGGAACTACGGCCGACTCTTTGCTGTGACAATGGTCCTGCCCATGTGTGACATTGCCTTGCTCTTTCGTTCCCCGGTAGATTGCTCCAACTCACTGCCATCCAGGAAAGGGCAAAGGGAGGCTGGGAAAGAGAAGGGTGATCCTTCCTTTCCATCCTCCTGTCAGTGACTCCTACTTCTAAAATGCACTGCAATGAGAGCATAGACATCTAGGCTACCTACTTTATGACAGGTGGTACCGTCTCCCTGGTACCATGAGGGATTTTAATGACTGAATTAATGGTCTACGTAGTTAAAGCTTTGTAATTATTCAACACTATGTGTATTTGGTCCAATCAATTAAAACACATCAGGCCTAATTTCTCAGGCTTAAACAGTTTGCTTTGGTTGTGTATAATAGTTAAGTTTTGAAACAGCAACCAGATTTTCATGCAGCCTATACACAGCTTCCATTAGATATGGTCACGGTAGGACTGATGTCTGCTGAGAACAGGATTTCTGGACTTCAGGAAGTCTTTTCCTGATCAAACTAGTGTTTGGGGTTAGTCGGGAGCAGTGTCTCAGCCGTGGGTTCTGCAATACAATGGCTTCATCCCTCTCACTTCATCTTAAGAGGCCCTGGAAGGGGGACAGAGAGAATAACACTCAGAAGGTAGTTGGAGACAATGCAAAGGCAGGCCTGAGGTTGAGTTTTGGTTACTAAGCTACAAAAGAAAAGAGGAGAGAAACAGGAGAGAAAGCAAGAGAGAAGGAGGGGGAGGGGCAGACGGACAGGACTTCCTTGAGTTCAAAATAAGCAAACAAACGAACAAGCTTGTCTGCCTGCCACAATGAAGTTTCCTCTTTCTACAAAGAACCACACAAAGCACTCATAGTGCAGCTTACATAAAAACCAAACAGGATTACTTTAAACAAAGGGAATGGAATTTTCCTTTAAGAGTCAATATATATTCTTTTTAGCTTAGCATGCTACATTATTTCTACAGAAGTATATAAATTTTGGAAGTTTTGGTGTAATTTAAAAAAAAATTAATGTAAGATAATGTATAACTATGCCATGGCCACCAAATTTCTGGATGGCATGACACCAGAAGCGTATTCTTTGGAGATAGAGTTATGCACGTACCCTTCTGCATATACTCACACAAACTCGGTAAACAAGCAAATAGAAACAGGGTTACTACTCAGCACAAAACTTAAAGATGTTAGGGCTACTGTACATGGGGGTGCTTGTTACAGACCCTAAGAAAGGTTGAATTAAAGGGATGAAGAACACCCTCTGTGATTATAGGAGGCAAAGCTAGAATTACCAACGGAAATTTTAAGGAGGGAAACTTTGGGGGACCACTCTGTAGAAACCAGAAAGATCTACTTTAAAAGATCCAGCTTTATAAGTGGGATCAGTAGAAAATTAGCCCACTTCTTACTGAAATATTGAGAAGGATTTTAATCTTACGTTAGTGTTAATTGCATCAGAATCTCAAAATGGATTAAAAAAAATTCATATTTCTGAATGTAAATTCCGGGGAGGGGTGAGGGGGAACCCACATCTATATTAAACAGTCTATGAGACTGATTAAGATTTCAATGATGGCGGTGAGTTGGGAGCCAAGTTGAGCGATCTTTAGTACCTTTAATAGCCTGTTATTAACTACTATGTATGGCCTAAAATCCCTGAGGCTTAGTTAAAATCCTTCTGGAATATACAGACTCCAGTTTCTACTAATTCAAAGACTAAAAATGTCATCAGGTAGTATCTAAGATTTCCAGAGACTTCTTCAGTTAGCTTTAACCCACCTGATATTTGCACCAATGTATGTAACAAGTACCTTGATTTAAGATTTGTTTGTTCTGTTACTATCAAAGTTTCATGAAATCATTATCACACTGAAACATTTGGAGTAATATATATCTATCTGGGTTCAGGTCAAGTCAGTCATATCTGGCTCAGAGAAAACTACACCTGCTTTGGGATGAAAGCCTTGCTTTTGTGTGGACAATTAAGAAAAACTTTTTAGCCCAGCAGTGGTGGCACATGCTTTTAATTCCAGCACTTGGGAGGCAGAGGCAGGGAGATCTCTGAGTTTGAGGCCAGCCTGGTCTACAGAGTGAGTTCCAGGACTACACAGAGAAACCTGTCTTGAAAAACAAAAACAAGAAAAAAGAAAAAAATTCTTTCTGGATATGGTGCATTGCTTATAATCCTGACACTTGAGAGAACGAGGCAAGTTTAAGGCCAGTCAGGGCTACTCAGCATACCTAGGGAAACAGCACACATCCTTAAAACCCCCACAATTTTGGCACCAGGAAACCAGTGGTCTAATGAGTGCTACTGTATAGCCTCGTGACTCAGAATAGATGTCACTAACTGGTTAGACTACAGAATCAGCAACAAAGTATTTAGGGTTTAAGTTTTTATTTGCCTCTATTTTAACTTCTCGTTAGTTTACTCACAGAATCTAAGTTTTCTCAAATTTTTTTCCTTTTCTTTTCCTTTCTTTCTTTCCTTTTTTTTTGCTCAGGTAGGTCTACCTGATTTCTACCAATAGGGTCTCATTTTAGCCCAAAAGAAAAGGAACCAGATTCTGGTCAGTGATAATCTGATATATAACAATTAGAAGGGCTATAAGAATTCCACTATCCATAAATTTATGACCAACTGTGATAATATAAATAACTGACAAACTAGTAAAGGCAGTGAAGGGGTCTTATAGCTACTAAAGCACATGTTTTACTAATATTGCCCACTACCACAGGAAATATAGCTATTTAAATAAATCTCCTTTAACTTTTATACAGCAAAATACAGACTTTTACATCAAAGGAACCTTGCCATCTTCACTGAAGAGTAAGGGTCAGAAGTGCCAGTGGCACAGACAAATGAGCAGGGCCAATAAAGGGAAGACTCACTACAGGCGTCTTACTAAGTAGAGCAACAATTCCTTTCTGAGGCCTAGAAACCACTTATTTAGTTGTTCTAAAGCTAAAGGGAATAATTTGGAACAATTAGTAGCAAATGCCAAAGTATCAGTTTAGTTCAATTAATACAATTAAACGCCCTCCTGTAGAGGTCTGGCTTGCACTCCATTCACCAGCTGTACATACATCCCATAATGCCTGGATGGTTTCTGTGGCAACAGAATCACAGAATGCTCTTTGACTTTACCCTTCTATCATCTATACAGGAGAAGTATGGTTTGATGGATTATTTTCTCAAAATAACCTCCCTTTCTCAATTTTCCCTGCTACTACATATCTTAACCCAACCACTAATTTCCAGGTTTCCTTTACATGACCAGAAGCTTGCTCCCACCTCCCTTCTAGTCATGTTCACTTTGCCAAGAATAACTGTCATTCTTCTTCAAAATACCCACTAAGGCCCTTACATCCCTTTAAAGACCCAAAGTGAGACAACCTCCTCCCAAGAGTCTTTTCTGACTATGAAGAAGAGAATATTCTTGATTTTCTTATGGTTCATTGCTACATGAAGAAAATGCTGGGCTCTGAATGGAAAGTGTGGTCTTTTATCACAGTCTTTATGTTCTAGTTGAACAGACGGAAAAACAAAATAATTCCCCCAACCCAAGGCTCAGTGCCTAACACCAACGGTATGCTCTGAATGTTGTCTGAACGAAGGCATCACTGCTAATTTCTGCAGATATTCCCATGTAAGTGACAGATGTGAGAGGAAGCATATGGGACACAGCATGTTGACAGCAGGGCAGCTTGGTGCTACCCTTCATATATTTATACTGTTGATTTATCAAAGTAAGGGGTAGGTATCCCCAGTTCAGCATGTGCAAGGGCCTAGCAGAGTTTTATATATAAATAGTAGGATATATTGGCAAATTTTATAGAAAAAAATACATTTATCTAGCAGCAAGCTTGTCAAGCATGAACAAGGGCCTGGGTTCAAGCCCTGATAGTAAGAAAAAAAGTATTTGCCAGAACACTGGCAACTACTATTATTAATTCTTGAAACCTTTTGATAACTTCACTCTTTGAGCCACAGTTTCTTTGACAGTAAAACTGAGGTTTAATACCTCATAATATCTCAAAATCTAAAGTGATTTTGGTGATAACTACATTTCAAAATCACTGGAGCTATGGAGGCCGCAGTATGCAGAGTCCAGGTAACAGAAAGATGTGAAAAATGGCTCTTTGCACTTTGAACAATTTGAACAATGAACATTTATGAACCTATCCATTTCACTCCTCTCACAGATTCAGAATGCTGACTGTTGAATAAACACTTGGACGGACATGCTTCTTCCCATTTTCCTTTAGAATGTTTTGAGATACCCGGGGTAACATCACATCCCCATACATTCTCAAACCACAGAGTTGGCTATGAGTGAAGCTAAGTAGAATTTTCACATAGTCAACCTTGTCAAAAAGTTGTTCTGAAAACATTTAGTCATATGTGTACAGAGTTTCCAATTTAAAATATTAAGCAAAATCTTCAGAATATTTTCTCCTTCAGAAGAAAAGAGTTCAGATTCTGGATATCAGCCAAGTGGCGTAGATCAATGATCCTATTCATCACCTGTTCCAGGAAATTTAAGAAAAACACGTGACATAAAGCCCCTGGCTGGTCGCCGCATTTCTGGGCTCTTACTGGTTAGTGGGAATACCTGTTATTTGCTTTTTTGTCTCCAAGTCTCTGGTCTGCTTCAGCACCTGGAGCAGGCGAGGTACCCCACTCAGCTCAGCCACCTCCAGCTTGTTGTCATTGTCTTCAAACACCAAGTTCCTCAAGGCTCCACACACAGCCCGCTGAACATCTTCATTCTGAACTTTGAGCAGCTGTAGGAGCTTAGGGATGCCTCGAAGCTGATTAACCTAGGGAAGAAATCAATGTATATACCCTCGACTCATTAATTTTGATGTGGCATTAAGACATTCAATATCTTAGGAATAGCTGCTCACTGATTATAATGCTTGTCAGTCAACAACTATATGTGGCACAATCTGAGACCCATACTGTACAGATGACCTGTTCTGATCATAAAAATCTGTCAATGAGCTTGAAGAAGAAAGGTTAAGTAACAAAGGATGGGTAAAGGAAGTTTAAATAGAGGAAAAAGAATTTGTTAATAAAGCCTGGAAAACAATAAAAATAGGATAACCTCAAATCTGGAGACTAGGAAAGTTTGATGAAAGAATACAAAATTACACAAATTACATGAGTGCTTTTTCCAGAATAAAGATTTGTAGTTAGTTAAAATGAGTAAAAATTACCATCAATAGTAGGAAAAATGCTTTTATTGTGGCAACATTAGGAGCCTTGAAACATACTTCCAAATCTAAGTTACTGTCAACTGCTTAGAGTATTTAAAAGGATGCCATAAGCTATGTGAGAATTTTAAGAAAAAACAATTATACCTTTTAATGTGCTATTTAAAAACATTTCTTCTATTCACACATGCAAGGAAGAACATGCATGCTGTCCGCTAAGAGAAAGAGCCACAACTAGGAAGGGAAGAGAGAGACCACACAGCTGAGTATGCTAGTACACGCCTTAGTGAACTATAGCATGTAACCCAGCCTGTGTTCTTCACAACTGGAAGCAGAAGGATGGCAAGCTACAAAATGAGACCCAATCTCAAAAAACAAACAAACAATAAAAATAAAGCAACCAAGAACAACAAAGATAAATGAAAATAAATAAATTAGATTCATACATTGTGGAAGATGAAAAAAGGCTGAACAGTGAACAACATCAATTTGAGTAGTGATTTCATATTTTAGGCTGCAAATACCATAAAAAAAACAAAAGGTGGGCACGTCATCTGGAACGTTGGCTTACAGTCCAATAGTTGTCCTCATCATTGCCTCCATCTACACCTGACTTTTAAATGTTCAAGTTGGCAAGGGCTTTTGTGCAGACCTCACTCATTTGCATCATCATAATGTAGATGTTCTTAGATGTTTTTATGACTGACCCTGGGTTTTGCTATCAAGTGAGGCACACAGGTACCTGAACAGCCAGCTCTCTGCGCAGCTGGTGCCAATGGCACATTTGCATATTATCAAACTCTAGCTACCCTCCTTCATACAGAAAGCATAAGCAAGGACTGGCAAGATGGCTCAGTGGGTAAGGTTACTTGCTGCCAAGCCTGATGACCTAAGATTGACCCCCTGGAACTCACACAGTAGAGGAAGAGAACTGACTTTTACAAGTTGTCCTCTGATTGCTACTTGTGTGCCATGATACTTGTGTGCAGGTATACATGTACAGTAAATAAATATGAAAAAATAGTAAAAGCAGAATTTATGGGAAGAATCTTCCAATCTTCCAATTTCTTTTGTTAGGATTGGGGAAAAGACCAGCAAGACAGGAATAAAAACCAGCATTATACAATAATCTAAATAGTAAATAATAATAATAATAATAATAATAATAACAACAACAACTATTATAATAATAGTAACAACTCTCCCTCCCATTCTACCTGCTAGAGGTATCAGCATAGTTTTGAGTTTCATATGCACTATCTACTTCACAGCTTGTGATAACATTATGGAAAGTACTTTTTATAAAAAAGTTACATAAAATCCAAAAATGGGGCAGACATTGTTCGAGTGCTTGGTTGGAGGTTAGGCCAAATTTGGGCATCTCAGACAGGACTTCTGTGGGGGGTATTGTCTAATACACCCCAGCCTGAAGCACAAAATGGACTAAGAGATCAAGGTATAAATAGATGTTAGGCTAGTGCTCACGTACTGGAAGGTACGCTGTATGTTACCACAGGAAAAAGGTAAAGTCCAACCCTTGCTCAGCCATTATTAGAGAAGTTTCTTCTTGTAGTAGACAGTAATTAACAAAGAGATCCACCACCGGACAATGTGCAAAAGAGCAAGAGATTTTAAAGCGCTCGATCCTAAATGGGACGTCTCATCTAACCCTCCTCTCAGGGGTCAGGGAACTATGTGGAAGAGGAGGCAGGAAGACTGTAAGAGTCAGAGGTGATGGAGACTCCAAGGAAAGTGTCTTCCAAACACAACAGGAGTGATGCACACATGAAATCACAGAGACTGTGGGCAGCATTCATAAGGCCTGAACATGTTCAAGCCAAATAAGGTTCCAGCATTGAGAAGGGGAAGTGGACACAGGATCCTGACCTAACTAATGAAGAAGCTATCTATAGCTGATACCCACTGACTAATGGCAAATCAACACAATATTTAACAATGAATTGGTCATTAAAGAAATCAAGAAGAAAAATTTTAAAAGTCCTAGAACTGAATGAAAACAACACATACACAGTGTATGGTGGTTTGAATGGGAGTAGCTCCAATAGGTTCATACATTGGAATGCTGGTCTCCCACTGGAGGAACTGTTTGGGAAGGATTAGGAAGTGTGGCCTTGTTGGAGGTGTGCCACTGGGGAGGGGTTGGGGGCTTTGCAGATGAGGTACTGCTCAGGTACTGCTCAGGGCCATGTTGGTCTGCCTGCCTGCTGCCATGGTGTCTGCCATGATGGTCATGAACTCACCCTCTGAAAATGCTAATTCCTAATAAACTCTTCTTTTTGTAAGTTGCTTTGGTCATGGTGTTTTGTCACAGTAATAGCAAAGCAACTAAGATAAAAGTTAGTACCAAGAAACAGGCTATTGTTGTGGCAGGCCTGACCATGCTGTTCTTTAGAGGAATGTGGAAGATTTGGGGATCGTGGACTAAGAAAGTAGCTGATCTCTAAATATCGCTTAATGGACCACCTTAGTGGGAATGTGGAAGACAGTAGTGCTAAGAATAATGTGGACTACGAAGGTCAAGCTCTAGGGATTTCAGAGGGGAAAAAAATATTAGCAACTGGACTAATTCTTATTTCAGCAAATAATGTGGCTGCCTTTGCCCTTCTCCTAAGAATCCATGTCAGGCTAAATTGAAAGTTTTGGACTAACTTTATTGGTTGAGGAAATTGTAAGACAGGCTAATACTGATTCTGTTGCATGGCTATTAGTGACCACTTGCTGCAGGGCTACAGGGAAAGGAGCAAGAGGGCTTCACTTTCCTTTCCCCCTCCAACTATCATCTCCCAGCTTCATTCCCAGCTCTATAGCGATCACATGCTGCAGCCTCATCTTCTTCTCTGACCCCATCTCCAGAAGATCACGTAGATCTTCTCCTACATCCTTCTTTACTACCCCATCCCTTTGTCTCAGACACCAGCTCCCTCATGCATTCCCTGGGACCCACTGGCTATACTGGCCAGGAAAGCAGATAGGCAAGCTTCACTTTCCCTCCTTCCTTCCAAATCCAATCCCTCAGCCTCATCCCCAGGTCTGTCGAAGACCACCTGCTGTGGCCTCTTCTCCCTCTATAGCCCCACCCCCAGGGGACTATTCAGATCCTGGAGGCACACCCTGCTTTCTTCTCTCCTGTGGACCCTGTCACCTTTAGCTCATCCACATTCTTGTCAGCTCCTAATACCTAGAAACATATTCTCCCTGAAACCCCCAGTGGCCATACCTATCAGGATCCCAGAAATATTCCCTACCAGGCACACCACAGCTACCATATTCTCCTAAGAACAAGAGAGGGCAACAGAAACCAAAGAACAAAATGCCCACTCAACAAAGACAAGATTAGGTATCACCACCAAGAATTACAATCTTCCCGAACACATATGCCTAGACTCCAGCATAAAGACACAATAAAAAATAGCCAATACAGGGCTGGAGACATGGCTCAGCGGTTAAGAGCACTGCTTGCTCTTCCAAAGGTCCTGAGTTCAATTCCCAGCAACCACATGGTGGCTCACAACCATCTGTAATGAGATCTGGTGCCCTCTTCTGACCTGCAGAAATATGTACAGATAGAACACTGTGTACATGATAAATAAATAAACCTTTAAAAAAAAAAAAAATAGCCAATACAATATCTCCACTAGAGCACAGCAACCCTAAAGGAGGCTCCAAGAAATGCAATATCACTGAAGCACAAGACAAGAACTTCAAAATACCCTTCATGAATATGTCAGATGTCCTTAAAGAAGTTATGAATAAATCATTAAGGAAATCTATGAAAACACAAACAATGGAATGAAGTGAATAAAACAGCTCAAGACTTGCAAGTGGAAAGAGAATCACTATTTGCTTGATATATACCACTTACCAAAGTTAAATTAAGATTATATGAGCAATTTTAACAGTTCTATACCTCCTAGTGAAGTAGAAGCAGTAATTAAAAGTTTCCCAACCAAAAATAAATCCCAGGGCCAGATGGTTTTAGTAAAGAATTCACCAGACTTTCAAAGAATTAAAGCCAATATTCCTCAACTTAGTATACAAAATACAAAGACTATACCAAGAATTCTACAAAATTCTACAGAATGGATATTGCCCAATTTATTTTATGAGTCCATAGTTACCCTGATTCCGCAACCACACAGACTCAAAAAAGAAAAACAATTACAGAGCAATTTCCCTTATGAACACAGGTGTAAAAATTCTCAATAAAATGCTTGCAAGAACATATTAAAAAATCATAAATTGACAGATGTAACCCATGGTATAAAAAAACTGAAAGAAAAAAAACTAAATGACCATCTCATTAGGTGCAGAAAAGGTGTAAGAAAAAAATGAAATACTTCTTCATGATAAAGGAGAGAACAGGGGTACAAGGGACATATCTAAACATAATAAAGGCAATTTATAATCAGCCCATAGCCAACATCAACGTAGACAGAGAAACTTGAAGAACATCCACTAAAAATCAAGAACATGACAAGGTTGTGCACTCTCCCCACACCTTGTCAATATAGTACTTGAAGTTCTAGTTTTATTGCTAGAGCAATACAACAACGGAAGGAGATCACGGCGATATAAAATAGAGAGGAAGAAGTCAAAGTATCTTTATTTGCAGATGATGATATTATACAAAAATGACCTAAAAATTCCATTAGAAAACTTCTACAGCTGATAAATACAAAGTCGCTGGATATGAAATTAACACACCAAACTCAGTAGCTCTCCTATACAAAATACAAGCACATTGAGAAAGGAATCGGGGAACACCTTCCATAATAACCCCCAAAATATAAAATATCTTGAAGGTGATTCTAACCAAGCAAGAGAAAGTCCTGTATGATAAATTCTTTAAGACACTGAAGAAAGAAATTGAAAAAGGATATCAGAAAATGGAAAGAGCTCGTGGACCAGTAGACTTAATATAGTAAAAATGGTTACCCTACCAAAAGCAATATAAAGATTCACTGAAATCTCCATCAAAATTCCAACACAATTTTTCATAGAACTTAAAGGAACAATTTTCAGCTTCATATGGAAACACAGAAAGCCCAGGATAGCTAAGACAATCCTGAATAATAAAAGAACTGCTAGAATTATCAACATCCCCACTCTCACATTTTACAACAGAGCTATAGTAATAATAACAACATGGTATTGGCAAAGAAACAGACATGTTGATGAACTCAATTGAATTGAAGACCCAGAAGTAAATTCATACACCTTTGGACATCTGATTTTGATAAAGAAGACAGAAATATACCCTGGAAAAAAGATACCATCTTCAAAAACTAGTGCTGGTCAAACTGGATGGCTGTACACAGAAGAATACAAATAGATCAATACTTATCACCCTATACAAAGCTCAACTCTAAATAGATCAAAGATCTCAACTTAAGACCAGATAAACTGAATTGGATAGAAGAGAAATTAGAGAATAGTCTTGAACACATTGGTACAGGATAAGACTTTCTGAACAGAACATCATTAGCACAGGCACCAAGAACAAAATTAACAAGTGGGGACTCATGAAACTGAAAAGCTTCTGTAAGGCAAAGGACACTATCATTTGAATAAATGACAGGTTACAGAATGGGAAAAGATTTGTACTAACTATATAATGTAACGAGTCTTTCTCTGTCCCACCAGCCAGTTCCCAAATAATGACATGGAGACTTACCATTAATTATGAAAGTTGAGCCTATAGCTTAGGCTTGTTTCTAAGTAGGTCTTACAACTTAAATTAATCCATTTCTATTAATCTACATTTTACCATGTGGCCTTTTACCTTTCTTTCATTCTGTATGTCCAACTCCCTCTGTGTATCTCCTCTTACTTCTTCTCTCTGCCCAGAAGTCACACCTGTACCTCCAGCCTAGCTATTGGTCATTCAGTTCTTTTTCAAACCAATCACAGCAATATATCTTTACACAGTATACAAACATTCCACAACAATACAGCCAATAGAGGGCTAATACCCAAAACATATAGAACTTTAAAAAATGGACATGAAAAAAATAACCCAATTAAAAATGGGGTACAGATCTAAACAATTAATTCTCAAAGAGGAAACTCATCAGGAAAATCCAAATCAAAACTACTTTTGAGATTTCATCTTACACCTCTCAAAATGGCTGTGATCAATACAAATAAATGACAGCTCATGCTGGTGAGGATGTTGAGTAAGAACACTTCTCCATTGCTGTTGGGAGTGCAAACTTGTACATCCACTATAGAAATCAACGTGGCAATTTGCCAGGAAGGTGGGAACAGGTTTTTTTTTTTTTTTTTTTTTTTTCCGAGACAGGGTTTCTTTGTGTAGCTTTGGTGCCTGTCCTGAATCATGCTCTGTAGACCAGGCTGGCCTCGAACTCATAGAGATTCACCTGGCTTTGCCTCCCAAGGGATGAAAGGCGTGTGCCACCACTGCCCAGGAAGGTGGGAATAGATCTACCTCAAGATTCAGCTACACCACTCCTGGGCATATACCCAAAGGATGCTGCATCCTGCCACAGAGACACTTGCTCAACTGTGTTCATTGCTGCTCTACTCATAATAGCTAGAAATTAGAAGCAACCTAGATGTCTGTTAACAGATGAATGGACATTATAAAATTTTGGTATAGTTACACAATAAAATATTATTCATGTATTTAAAAATAACATCATGAAATTTGCAGGTAAACACGAGGAGCTAGGAAAAAAATCATCCTATGTGAGGTAACTCAGACTCAAAGATAAATACGGTATGTATTCACTTATATGTGGGTGTTGGCTGTTCATTCAATAAGCAGGCTATAATCCTTATAACCACAGAGGTTAGGTATACAGTAAGGGATTAAGGGGAGGAATGGATCTCCCTAGGAGTGGGAAATAGAATAGATATGGATGGATGGGGGTGGGTGGGTACTGGAACAGGAGGAACAAATAGGGAGGGGAAGGAAGAGGAGGGAGAGAAAGGAAATATGGAGAAGGACAGCTAAAACTAAGGGCCATTTGAGGGGTTGTATGGAAACCTAACACAGTAGAAGCTTCCTAAGATAGATAAAGTCAGTCTAAATAAAATTGCCAAATAACAGGGACACAGAGCTCCAACTGGACATCTCTCATCACCACACAAAGCTTCCAGTGCGAAGAATGGGTTACATCTCATTGTATTTGTCTTAGTTAGGGTTACTAATGCTGTGATGAAGTCTCATGACCAAAAGCAAGCTGGGGAAGAAAAGGTTTACTTCACTCACAGTTCCATATAACAGTTCATAATCAAAGGCAGTGAGGGCAGGAACTCAAGCAGGACAGGAACCTGGTGGCTGGAGCTGACTCAGAGGCCAAGGAGGGGTGCTGCTTACTGGCCTGCTCCCTACAGCTTGCTCAGTCTGCTTTCTTATAGAATACAGGACCACCAGCCTAAGGATGGTACTACCCACAGTGGGCTGGGCTCTCTGTCATCAATCACTAATTAAGAAATGCCCTACAGGCTTGCCTACAACCTGATGAAAGCATTTTTCTCAATTGAGGTTTCTTCCTCTAGATGACTTTAGCTTGTGTCAAGTTGACATAAAACTATCCACCACAGTGTTCTTGGCCAAAGGGGTCCCATGGGAACCCCCAAACAACCCAGGCTATCGTCATGCATATTTGCTGCTCTCCACAAATTGACACACTGTTATTGTGACAACAATAAGGCCCTATTATTGAAGACAGCACCTACATAACTCACTAAACACAGAGAAGTCAGGGTACCTACCTAGAACCTTCACTCTTACTGACTAGACTTTATGATACTGGAGGGTATTGTGCACCCTACCAGAGGAGAAAGGTAAACACCAACTGAGCCGCAAACCCTGTGATCTACAATATATGCTGGTATGATCGTGGCCCAAAGCTTTGTAGGAGTAACTAACCAAGATCTGATTTGATTTAAGGCCAAGAACCTGAGACTAGATAGGCCAGGAACGTAGGGAAAAATCAAAAACTACTCTTTTGCTAAAAGAATGTAGCAATAAAATGAGTCCTAATGACTTTCTACTATACTCATAGATCAGTGCAGCTAAAGATCTCCTTAAATTCACTGTGTAGGCAAGAATGAGCTTGAGTTTCTGATCTTTCTGTCTTCACCCCAAGTGCTAGGATTACAGGTGTGCATCAGCACTCTGGGTTTGTATAGTGTTGGGCTTTGTGTGTACTAAGAAGCACAGTATCAGTCTTTGGTGAAAAGTTTTAAGTTTACATCAAGGATTTGTTTTGGTGTGCGGGGTCAACACATCACTGACGGTTTGCTAGATTTTATATGGGCTTAGAGGATACTCACCCTTTTCCGTGCTTCAGATTTTTGAAAGCTCTCGTGCTGTATAAAAGTAGCTGCGGCAGAAATCCTGGACAGTGGTACATGGTCTGCATCAAGCATATTCACAGCTCTCTCCAAGGTCATCTCCATGTCTGCATTCCTAGACAAATAGTTACAGCTTTGGTGAGAATGCAAACCATGCCCTCTTGATTGTCTGGAAGTGACTTAACTAGTATTAGAAGCACCTACAACATCTGCACTCTAAATTTTCTTGAGCCTAAGAAACATCAGCACTGGAAATCAAAAGGTATCAGGAGCTAGTGGTAGAATTTCTGTACTTTTCCTTAACTGGTCTCTGAGGATGTTGTAGAAGAGAGAGACAAAGAAACGCAACTCTCTAAGATAAATAGGTATAGTATGATAATTATACAAAAAAAAAAAGACTTAAAAATCCCCAACATGACCATTTCAATACAATTTAAAGAAAATTTGTTCACAGAAATTAAAAACCATCCCTACTCTGGGAATTCCGTAACTATAGTAGAAACATCTCCCCCACAACCAACCAAAAAAATTTAGATTTTTCTCAGAGTTGCTCAGAATCTATTTCACCTGAAAATACAACAGCAACTAGAACAACTCACTTTTGTTTTGGTAAACTAAGTTATGCTGGTGTGACAAATGCATCAGGAAAAGGAATGCTTAAATGACTTCCAATCCCACTCTGCCACCCTTTGCTCTGCCACCGCAGTGGGTTCATCCGGAGCCTGAAGGACAAATTGTCCTTTACTCTTCGGTGATGATGAAGTCATATGTAGTTGGTCACAGAGAAGCTCCTTTATAGAAGACATGACTTGTGAAACAATAACCCCCAACTGACTCACAGAACAACACTTTGCTTTCTTTTAATTTCTGCTGTGAAGGTGACTAGATTACTAGTAATACAAACACAAAAGACATCTTGGGAGACTGTTTTCTAACATCTGCTAGCTTATAAGTTCAGTGTGGATATTCTCTATCAAAACAGCTAATTACTACATGCGTATGTGAGAAGTGAGTGTCAGTGGCACAGCAGTGTCCCTGTGTGGTGGGTGTGCAGAGGGGAGGCAGTGACCTGGTGAGTATGCAGAGGTGAGGATATAAGAAGCAATGTAATGAATTTTCTGTAATACATTTTCATACACAGAAATTCAGAATATGCCACCTCAAACTATGAAGCTCTGGCTACTGTTTATGTTGAGCTGAAAGGCTCTTCATCAGTATAAAGGTATTTAAAGAAAAGCAGACCACTGCTGGCCTCTATACTGAGAACTATATAATAACCTCAAATTTGAAAAGATACTTCAGGAGATGACTGTAATTAGTTTAAAAAAGAAGGCAGGCCAGAGCTAGGGTTCAGCTTGGCATGCACAAAGCCCTGTGTTCCCTCCCCATTACCAGTGTGGTAGTACAAACCTATAATCCCAGTACTTGGGAGGTATAGGCAGAAGGATCAGAAGTTCAAGACCAGTATGGGCTACAAGATAACACTTCTGGAGGCCCACAGAAATATGACTTGATAGATGGTGTTGGGGAGACAGGTGAGAGATCAGAAAGAACAGTTGTCCCCTGACTCCTATCTTCCAAGGCAGGAACTCAAAAAGTGAGCCTTTCAATTCTATAGTTATGACTCTCAGTGTAGCTTGGCTGAGGTGAGAGCTTGATAATAGCATGCTTCCATGGCTTCCATAGCAACACACACACACACACACACACACACACACACACACACACACACACACACACACAAATAGAAAGAAAGAAACTTAACAAATGTAAATAACAAATACAACAGGAAGAACACAAAATGCTATTGGTTAGAATAAGAGTCATTATAGAAAATACTGCTCCCCCTCAAAAAAAAAAAATCCTAGTAATTTTTTGTGTGTGGAATGCCCGACTTACATTCCTGCCACACGGTTTGCCCTAGTCTGGCTCTCCTGACATAAGTATCTCTGAAGCCATTAGGCTCCTTCCTGCAAGTGTTGTCAAAAGAAGGAAAAGTCACCCGGCTGCCCAGAGTGCAGTAAGAATGCTGCTGTGGAAACAGGACTCAATCCTATCAGCGCTTCTGAGAGCATGGCAGAGTCGAAGCTGAGGCAATAAGCCTTCAACTGGGCAGTCTAACAGGAAGATCCCAGGGAAGGCGAGTGGAGCAGATGAGGTTCCTCAGCGGCCCTAATGGACGTCTGCACAGCATGTCAACATGAGGAGAGCCAGGGACAACGAAGACAGCAAACAATGTGGCTGGCATTACACAGGAGAACAACTGATTATTATTCACAAACTATTCATTAAAAATAGGAAACAGAAGTATAAGTAAGAACAACACACTCTGAAGTTCAGAATGTGTCACCTCACTCTATGCAGTGTTGGTTACCGACCGTCGGCTGAAAGGCATTGGAAACAGCAGGTAAGAAGGGAGTCTTGGACCACCCTGCTCTACTTAAGTCAGGCCACAAAACTAACTTCCCAGGAGATAGGTACCCTTGCACAGAAGAGGATATTCCTTACTATTAGAGACAAGGGACGAGGCTAAAACACCCTTACAAAGGATTACAATAACACTCATCTTGCGTTAGTTTTCTGAGGACGGTTCCTGGTCTCTGCTCCCCAGCTACTACACCGACTCAAAGGCTCTTCCTCTTGTTATACACATTTGTCATTCTTGGGTGTAAAAGGTATATAAACACAGGGTCCTTTGGGACCTACTTTCCTTTCTAAAGACTTCTCTTTTATATGTTAAAATGAGGATATATGATTTTCTATTGTTAAAATAATAATTACAATAAACATGATGTGGAGGATAGTCAGTGTGACCTGTTCTCTGCTCTCAAAACCTTGCCTGGTGATCTGCTGGAGATCCACTCTCCTTAGTCTCCATTACTTGGTCCCAGGGTGCAGTGCTCTGCATTCTCTGAATCATTTGGCACAGAGCTGTTGCTTACAACACACCCTGCTGATTTTCTCTGTCCCTCTCCAAGATGCTCACCCAGGTCATTCAGTTTTTCTCTCTATGGGGCTTTATAGCAGTGCAGGACACATTGGGAGTGTCTAAGATTCACTTATTGAATTATTCAATTCTTAGAAGTACAAAAATTCCACTTTTGGAAAACTCCATATAGAATTTTTCACTTAGTGATTTCTATAAAACTTTCTCATTAGTCTGTAGACAGGCGATGAGTATCTCCCCTACCCTGAGACTGTTTCCAGCTGCATCAGCCACTGCCTGATGCATTTCCATTCTTCTGCAAAGACAAACCCATAGTTTAGTACTGTGCATCAAAATGTCCCACATACATGAAAAAATACTTGGTGGGCATAGGAAGGTAGAGACTGGAAACAGGGTCTGGCCAGAGGTGAAATGTAAAACAGTGGAATAAGGGTAGAGGACTCGGTGGGCGGGTGTGGGGCAAGTGTCTCTGGGAGCAGCCAAGAGCTCTGAACTGAGTAGGAGCACTCTGCCAGCGGGAAGGGCTGTGCCATTGTTTCCTAGTTAGAGAAATGCCTCTGGCTTCCTCTCCTTCCCAAAGGAAGTAAAACTTTCCCTTCAGAAATCAAAGAGTTAACTCCTAGTCTCTAGAACTTGAGGATCTCAGGAAAAAATTATTCTTTGAAATATAATTAAATATTCTATTAAAATTACACTGTCTGTTAAAACTATTTTCTGACACAGCCATGGCTAGTGATTGTAGAATTTAAGCAACAAAAGGATCCAGATAGCAAAAGTAGTTATTTCATCTCACTCTTCTTTCATGATACATTTTTAGTGTCTACTGTGGACCCGCATTGCTCTTAGGGTTCTGAGAATAGAAGAATGAATCGGACATTAGCAAAAAGCTAAAGACTGGGGGTAACAGGTAAGTTATAATACATAAACACAATGTAAAATGTAAGGCAGGTTCGGGAGGCTCACCCGAGCTGGGCATCAGTGAAGGCGCTCCTGTCCACATGTGCATCCCCGCTGCCCACAGCAGCCTGGCCAGCGGTGGGCAGCATCCTCCCTGGGTCCCGCAGGGTGCTGCGGACTGAGCTTCGGGGCCAGGAGGAGCGGGCTGCTCTGCTTTGCGCGCCCAGAGGCCGAGCTTGGCTCACGCGCACTGTCTCCTCCAGCAGGCTGCCTGCGCTGTGGCTGGTGCCCGGAGGGTTGGGGGGCATTGTGGGGTTGAGTGGACCATTGTCGAAGACAGCATCACTAAGCGACCCACACCCAGGTGGCCTGCGGACTGTGCCCGCCTGGCGAAGGCCCAGGATCTCTGAGCGTGCGTAGCGTGGCAGGGTGAGGCGCCCACCAGACACCCCTTGGCTCCTCCAGGCAAACTGGTATTCGCTGTGCGCACAGCGAGCCCTCTCCGGGCTGCTCTCTGGGGAAATCTCAAGTCTCCTCAGAGGCTGCCTCCAGGATCTCTCCTCCACTGACTTCTGGGAACTGTACTGTGCTGTGCCTCTCCCCCAGCGACTTCCATAAGTGGCAGTCATGCCAGCCTGTATGAGAGAAATAAAATTTAAATGAAGTATAATGATCGACTTTGGCACCAGATCTCATTACAGATGGTTGTGAGCCACCATGTAGTTGCTGGGAATTGAACTCAGGACCTCTGGAAGAGCAACCAGTGTTCTTAACCTCTGAGCATCTCTCCAGCCCTCAATAATCAACTTTGGGATTACAATTTAACAAGTCGATTTCTTTGAATAAGACGGAAGTCAAGTCCCTTTGGGCTGTCTCGAGTCATATTTATTTGAATGAGACCACTTTAGAGGATAATACCCCCCACAACCTCTCCCCCCCAAAAGATATCTGAAATGGTTTTCCTGAAAATCTGATCACAGAGTTATGTTCTCTGATGTCCCACCTTTAGCATGTCATAGTCCCTAGTGACAGGTGATTGCCTTCCAACAAAGTCATTCTCAACCAAGTGCAGTTTGTAGACATACTCAGGAACACTGCTGGTTCGGTGAAGATTCCCTGAAATTAAGATAACATTAAAATAATTTACAATATAAATGTACCAATCAGCAATTATCAAATGCACGGCAAGCATTTAAGTTGATATCTAAGTGTTTGGAAACTCTGGTTGAAAGCTGTCATCTGGAAATGACAAATGATCAAAGGTTATCAAAACATTTACTGGGTGTTTCCAAATGTCAGGAAGTGCGTGACTGTAAGGCTGAAGTCCTGATATCTCTCTCTTCTGAGTAGAGACAGCCTGAGTGAAATCAGGCAAACTATAAAAACCAACCAAAAAAACAAACAAAAACTCCAAACGAAACAAGAAAACCAGTACAGGTGAGGGAGTTTTATGAAGATGCAACGCTGTTGTGATGCTGACATTGTCTATGAATCACCGATCGGCTCAGCTGCCCCGTTAGGTGCTGGAGAGCTGGGTTGCTCAGGTCAGAGGTAAGTTCTGCTCCCAGGGTAGGAGCTCAGGAAGTTTTTGCTGCTCAGAGGGAACAGGCAATGAATACATCCAAGTGCTACTAGATAAGGGAGGCTGTGTGAAGAGGCAGTGGGGTCAGCCTAGTCAAAGAGAACAAACGCGTACCAACCAGGCTAAGGCCAGGTTAAGTTAGTGTTGGCCATGTGATTAGGTAGTTAAGAAAATAATGACTGTGCCTGTGGAATCAGGACACTAGCCAACTATCCCACAAACACTTCAGGGGAAAGCCAGGCTCTGTGCTCAGCGGTGCATGTCTCAGACATCTTGAATTACTCATCTCTAAGGAATGTGGGGTGAAGACAGTACTGTGTCCCTCTCCTGCCTCTTTAGCCTTTTTCTGGCATCTGTTTCGTAATCTCTTAAAAAAAAAAAAGACGTCTAAAATCTTTTTCTATTTTTTATTTTTGTCACATAGCATTCTTTTACACACATGAGGAAAAAAGACACTCGACTGTCCTGAGCCTTGAGAGCCTCAAGAGATGCTTGAAACAGAACACAGTCAGTCCCTTTCAATGTGATGGAAATGAGCAACATACTTCCCAACAAAGTGTTTAAATGCTACAATTTCAAGAGACTAATAATATATTCACAAGTTACTCCGAGGAGAATGAAGGTTGTTACCAGAAAGCTAAACAGTTTGAATCCATTTGAATTATGTGCATGTGTCTATTTCCTGATGCCAAGCATTTTGTCTAGTTCCTGAGGGGAGACATCTGCAGGCTTGTAATATCATTTTCAAGACAGCAAAGTATTGGTTAGTCAGAAATTCTGATTCTAGGAAGCCTGCATTTTCCATGGGGCCTGGAGAGGGTCATGCAGCAAGACAGGACAGGGTGACCAGCTTCTCTCTGAGGATTCACTGAAGCCTCTGGCCAGTGAAGAAGCAAGAACACCAGCACAGCTAGCAACTTCGAAAAGCCTTTCTCTCGAAACTCCATTTGCAGGGAAAGGATATGTATTAACCTTCTTGTGCAGCCCTGGTGGCTGATGTTTTTATCTTATCAGATCATAATTCTATCCAAAGAATCTCTGGAGCCACCCCACTTATGTCAGTTATAAAAAGAGAAAAGGGTGGGGTGGAGGGGGTAAAAGGCTTAGCAACTTTTTGAGATAAAACTTCCGAGAGCCACAAAAATGGCATGGATGGCTAATGCTACACAACCATGACTCTCCCTGGAGGAGCCTATGCCCATGCTTGGGTGTGTCTCGATTCTCATCTCTATGCTCTCAGGCATATGCTACTTCTATCTGAGCACCTTGCTTTCTCTCTTAACCCTAATTCCCAAGCCAGTATTGAAATCTTTTTTTTTTTAAATAAAATCTCTAATTTTATTTCACATCTGCTATGTCTGAATTTCTTTTTTGGGTTCAAGCCACAAACACTAGTTTGCCTTGTATCAAGGTCCCTAAACGATTAAGGGAACTTCTCAGGCTGCTGAGGGAGAATGCGTGTGGAGCTGTCTCAGTCCCCATACTGATGACACAGCGGCTCCTTAATTTTTAGCTTCTAGGACAGAGTGCTTAGAATCTAGACTGAGAATGAGGGAAAGGGATTTCTTCAAGCTAGGAGAGGTTTTAAGGACTCAACTCTCAAGGGCCTGGCTCCTCCCAGGCTAGCTAATCTCTCTTAAGTCTGCATTGCTGGCTTTTCCTTCACTCCCTGGTCCAGTCCACACTGAGACCACCAGGAAACAGGTGCAAATGTCCTGCTGGCCTAGGACTGGAGACTGGCAGGATAGATTCAGGGAAACACAAGGGCTTTGAGCCTTAAGGGTCTGAGGGAGGTATAATGGAAAAAGGTTATAGTCTTCCTGTCTCCAAAGAAACAGAAACTTCCTACAGAGGCTGTAACTGGCAAATAATTACAAATTAGCTGATGGAGAAGAAACCAGATGGCTATTGCTATGATGAGACAGACACCATGACCAAGACAGCTTATAGAAGAAGGCATTTAATTGGAGGCTTGCTTACAGTTTCAGATAGTGAGCCCATGATCATCATGGTGGGAAGCACGGCAGCAGGCATGCCTGGCACTGGAGCAGTTGCCTAGAGTCTTATCCATGGAGTCAGAGAGAGGAGGGAGACTGGCCTGGTGTGGGATATTTGAAACTCAAAGCCCAGTGACACACCTCCTCCAACAGGCCACACCTCCTAGTCCTTCCCCCAAACTCTTCAAACAACTGGGGACTAGATGTTCAAATATGAGCCTAAGGGGCCATTCTCATTCAATCACACCAGATTTACTGTTTTGTTTTGTGTTTTGTTTTTAGAGCTGGGTGTGGGAGAACCTGCTCCCTGCCACTAGGGAGGCTGAGGCAGGAGGAACATTTGAAGCAACAACTTCAAGATAGCCAGAACATAGCTGAGACTGCCTCAAAACAGCACCCAAATACGGGTGACGACAACTACAGAATATTAATTTTATCCTCAAGCAAAGGACTAAAATCAACAATAAGTTATGGATTTGCTGTCCAATGTCATCACTGTTTCTAGCTGCCACCCCACCCTCTGAAGTAGTTTTTTCTGGTGCTGTGAGGATTCACTGGGGATCTTAGCTGTCTGATTATTGTGGCTATATTTTTAAGCCTCCACATAGAGATGGTATGACACTGGGCATGATGACATGTGTCTGTAGGTTGAATTGGGAGGATTATTTGCGTTCAGAATTTATAGTGCCTTCTGGCTCACTGAGAAAATCTCACTTCCAAGAAAAAAAAAGGATACTGTTGAGATATTAGTTTGAAGACGGAAGTAGCCTTCAATGAACTGCCTGAACTGCCCTTAGGAAAGTGAGTGGTGGGCATGGCAGCACAAGCCAGTAATCACAGTACTTGTGGGCAGAGGCAAAGACAGGCAGATCTGTGAATCTGAGGCCAGTCTGTCTACATCGAGTGAGTTCCCGGCCAGCTATCACAAAAGACTAGAAACAAAACACACAAGCAATTCTTTTTTATTGCAGAGCTGGCTATATCCCTGTGGTGATGTGTCCCAACAGTTCCAGCTGCTTAGGACATGGAACAAGGGTATCTGTCCAGCTCAGGGGTTGAAGGCTAGCCTGTGCAAAATAGCAAGTGTCCATTGAAACCTTCTGGTCAAAAAACAAACAATTACAATTCTTCAAACTGATTTTTTTTAAAATAAGGAATCTCAAGCCATTATGTCTCTTAGCTCTTCACTGGCTAGGGCCAACATCTTTCTTTACTGAGCCTCACTGCTCTTCCTTTTAAAAATATTCCTTATAGGACAAATGCATTTCCATAGAAAATCTGCATTTTTATGTTTATCTCTTGCTGAAACCTATGACTCATAATTATCAAATTCTTTAATTAGTACTCCAAATATCCATCTCCAATATACAGCAGAAGAGAAGAATGGGGAAGGCCACAAACAAAGTCACACAACTGAACTGAGTTAACTAGGCAGAGAGAAAGGGGAGGAGGGAGCTGGGGAGGGTGGAAATAAGATAACCGTGTGTGTGTGTGTGTGTGTGTGTGTGTGTGTGTGTGTGTGTGTGTGTGTGTGTGTGTGTCTGGTGAGCAGTGGGGTGGTGGTGGTGACAGGAATGAAGTGTGAGAAGTTGCAGGCCTCACATCACAGAGAACTTGGAATGCCATGCGGAACACAGATTCTTCTCCCAGAGATAGCAGCGAGACCCAAGGCATTTAAGAAACAACCGACGAGAATTTAAGAGTCTTCACTTGGCAGCTGCCTGGGAAATAGGCCAGATTAGAGCAGCCAGAGGTCCTTATCTCAAAGTGGACTTTTCCTCCTTGACATAAAGAGTCGTATCTCCTACTATACTTCTAACAGTCCTGCAGTAGCACGTGACAAGTTAAATGTTCATTAGTTATTCTACTCAGACATCCAAAATAGCCTACCTACACAAAGTCAGCACGTAATCTTGCAGGCTGACATTTCTTCTATGCATCACCATAGCGAAGCCAGAAATGTGAGGTCAGTAGTCACGCATGTCCTTGTCTTAGGTGAATGGCAGGTGCCCAAACATCACTCCTCCTCTATTTCTGGGTATGTAGTAAGGGAAACTGCTCTCTACAAAAATGTAGAGGACTGTTCCTGAGTTATCAGAAAAACTGATATTTTGTCTAGGTTGATTCTATATTTGGATAATATATATTTATTATTTTCTTATTTGTATGACTTGTACATTTACCTGTGGTCTTTTGGTACTCTATGATGAATTTATTTTACCTATCAAGAAAAACGTTCATTAGTTTCTATCCTTCAGTTTAAAAAATGGCAATCTGGGGTCTGCTCTTTCAGAGGACCTGGGTTCAATTTATAGCATCCACATGGCAGCTCACAACTGTCTGTAACTCAAGTTCCAGGGGATCTGACACCCTCACACAAACATACATACAGGCAAAATACCAAAGCACATAATAAAAATAAATAAATCTAAAAAAAAGTTAAAAAAAAATTCTTTAAAAGAACAATAGCAATCTGGGACTGAAGAAAGGCTCAATGGTTAAGAGCACTGGCTGTTCTTCTAGAGGACCCAAGTTTG